AACTGTTCTCAGAGCTGGTGAGGCCAAAGACAGCAGAAAGGGAGGGTTTCATGGCATTTCGGAGAGGGCAGTGGAGGGCAGTGCTGACATGGGGGCCCTCCCTGGGGGCTGAGACCTGGACCCTCGCATTCCGGCCACAGTCCCCATTTGCTGGTCCAGTGCTTTGCTCATGGTTCTCAGCTGGAAGCTTCTTGTAGTTCCCGGAAAAGGTGCACTGGAAAGAGACTCGGTCACTATTGCAAGCATAGGCCAGCTCTGAAGGGTTGGTGGTCCGGCTTCGGCTTCGCTTGTTTCCGCGGGTCCAAGGGGCACGGTGCTGCCTTCAGAGAGACCAGAGCAAATCAACACCACCTTTCTGTTTTGTTTGTGTTGATCCACAAGGGACTGTGGATGGCGATCAGCGTCGTCATGGCCTCTCGCCCTGACAGTCTGGATGGAGATGGAGCGTCTCAGGCAGGAAGACCCGAGCACCGTCGGCCACGAAGGGAGCGCGGAGGCGGCGGAGGAGCGGCTCGGCCCCTTGGAAGGACCCCGGCCCCGCGGGGTTCTGGACAGCGAGTTCTCACTGTGACGTCACCGCTGCGGCCTCGCCTGGAGCGCCCTGGCCACAGCGCCCTCTGGCGGCGCTGCGAGAAGCGGCGGTGGGCACTAGGGTGCTGCTGCTGGATGGGTGTACAAAGGGATGGGAGCCCCATTTCAGAATCTGGGGATCATTCAGGGAGAAGGAAACCCACAAGAAAACGCTGGGGTTCTGTTGGGGCACTGACCATTTCCTGCCCTGTGATTGGCCCTTTGCCCTGATTGGTGTGCCTTGGTTATCTTTAAGCTGATTGGACAAGTTTGACAGATAAGCGGGGGGGGGGGGGGGGGGGGGGGGGTGGGGGGGGGGGGGGCTGGAGCATAACGGTCATAACGGTCACAATGGATATAACGGACACAACGGACATAACGGACACAACGGAAGATCGGAATAAAGCACCTTGGAGACTCAAGTGTCAGGTGATTTCTTCCGCGGGACGGGAGGACCCCCGATAGGTTCTGTAAGTAGGCGCTGATTGATTAATAAAAAGGATGTGTAAGTTACATGGATCATCTCTTGATAGCAAGAAATGCACGGTGGCGAAAAGTTCATCTGTTGGTATTTCAATTGACTGACCAGGACAGATGACATGACCCACGTGGCTACTGTGAAACTGCACTTAAATCTTACATCATTTAACTATCTTTGACTTTTTTTCTTTTTTAAAAGTTTGTAAATATTACTATTTATAAGCAAATAGTAAAAATAGAATACATATCCGTAAACGGATGGAAAATTCTAATAAGGTATGTGAATAAACAAAAAGTACACTGTAGAAAATCAGAGGAGAAAGTAATCAAAGTTGAAAGATTGACCCTGCTATAAATGACAAAAATCTAAATCGGAAACATTAAAGTTTTGTTTTTTGGCTTGATTGTTTTTCTGCTACATTCCAACTGCAGATGCCGGGAGCAAAACTTCCATATTTTTTGAAACCTCTACAGCAGAGTCCACTGCAGGAAGGAGATGATAGTGTATACAGACACTGAATTATTTAATTTTTTTCCAGCTGTGATAAGAGCCATCCTTTACTGCTTCCCCAGGCCATACGCAGGGAGCTAATTGGCAGTGCTAGGCTATGAACTGGGGCCGCAGGGGATCTGGGCACTTGTAAGGTGGAGAATTAGCATATTGAGCCATTGTGCCAGGCTGGGTCTAATGATAATTTTTTAAAATTTTATTTTAACTTCTTTTTAAATTATTATTATCATTCTGTGATACAGTTCCATAGGCCCTGGGATTTTCCCTGCCTCCTCCCTAATTCCCCTCCCCCCTCCACCAAATTTCTCTATATTATTACTATAGCATAGCTCTTCATAAACAGTCACATGTTCATCATTGCGGGCATGGACAATGGCAGAGTCCAGCATCCTATTGTCAAGATACAGCTAATAGTTTCATTAGTAGTCCATCTTTGATCTGGAAGTAGAGATGCACACTGCACTGCATCCTCACATCTGGACATGATAGTCTCTATTACACAGTCACCATGCATCCCTCTTAAATGAAAAACCACAATACAAAATCAACAACAGGAAGAAAAACAGAAATTTACAATGCCATAAATTTCTCAGGAGGCTTTGATAGTTCAACAGTTCTGAATTGTTGGCGAACCCGCCACTCCAATCGCTGTGAAATCTCTCCCAAATCCACTGGCTGCTATAGTCCACCCCAGTGTCTCTGTCTGCCTAGATCTTCACCACCAATGTTTAGCTGGGGCAGTTGTTCAATTTGTTCTATGCTCTGTCCTCTGACATGGTACTAGGTGTCCTCTGGAGGCTCCAATGCACTGCCCCATCCTCCATGTACATTTGGACATGCTGTACACTGGTTTGTCTGAGCAACTGAGGAGGTCCAGCTCTGACAGATGCACCCCCGGTCAGAGCATAGAAGTTGGATTTCTCTCCATGGTTATGGTTCTGAGTCCAGTGGTTCAGCTGGTAGGGAATTGCCAAAGAAAGATTCTTGTGTGTGTTGGCCAATACTGGGTCCAGCACAGTCCATCACTCAAATCAGCCTACACACATATTGGTAGTTACAATCGCTGGGTCAGTTCTGTCTCCACCCTGTGTTTTATGCAACCCAATGGGTGTTGCCGCCCAGCCCAATCCTGCCCACCACATACTCGACCTTCACATAAACCAGTGGGAGCTGCAGTCTAGTCTGAGTGACCAACAAAACAACCCACCAGGTGCGCCCCTGACCACAATTTTTCTTTAGAATCAACTCTTAATGGTTAATGTAACCAGACAGTAACATTCTGATGTCTGTGGAATCTGCCGTTCTACACTGACAATAAGGAGTAGATTAAAAAAATAAAAAAACCTTGCTATTTCTTGCCTATGACAACTGATTCTTATTTTCCTTCAGAAGGATTTATTTCCCCTTGACATGGCGCTATCTTTGTTGAACCAACTGGTAAGACTAGCAATAATTACATCATTCAGATCAGGTTTTGTTAGTAGTTCATGAAGACTTTAGTTTTCTCAGCTTTTAGGAAAGTATTTTAAAAGTTCATGGTTTGGGATATATTTGCTAGTGCATGTGAGAACTGGCTCTGGCACCATGGAACTGGGGCTGGAGACTAACCTGGTACGGGTTCTGGAATAATGCCCTGATCATGCCACCACGCCCGAGGAGCGTGAGGAGCTGGAGGCAGGCTGGGGACAGTGACCTGGTCAGCAGTGGGCCCCATGAATTGCATGACCACCTAGACCAACAGGATCTCTACCTCGGAGAACAGCCCATGGATGTGTGGTCTGACCACAGAGCACGTGGTGTAAGATGAGGCTACCCCCACTGCTGACTCCAGAGGGAGGATGAAGAGCATAGCCGGATGCACATGAAAGACAAGTTCATGAAATCCTCCAATCCAACAGAAGACCTCAAGTACCTCTTCAAAGAGTGGAAAGAAAAGGGGCACAATATTTGAAGTCAAGTTCTGCAGAAAGCACCTAGGCCTTTGGACATTGTAAAGCCGACATGGACAGCCAGTCAATAGGTCCTAGAACTTACACAGAAAGAGCAAGGAAAAGCATGTAGGAGGACAGTTGGATTATGTCACTTCTCTTTTTTTTTTCTTTTAGAGTTCATTCATTTTTTTTTCCCAAGGAAGAGATACACACACACACACACACACACACACACAGAAACTCTTCCATTTGCTGGTTCACTCCCCAAAGGTCTGAAGCCAGGAGCCAAGAGGTTTTTCCAGGTCTCCCTCTTTTTCAGGTCATAAGCAGAAAGCTGGATGGGAAGTGGAGTAGCTGGGACACAAACTGTTCTCCATACTGGATGCTGGTGCTTGTTGGAGCTTATAGAGCTACCATGCCAGCCCCGATTATGTCACCTTTTATAGAACATCAAGTAACACTCCAAGGACATGTTCCTTCCTCTCCCCTCCAAACTTCAGGTCTCCGAGGTGGCACCAAGAGACCATAAATATTCCCTGCCATTAACATAGCCTAACAACAAAGAGGTATACATACTTTTCCCACCCCTGTCCTATCCCCCACTGTGGACACATCTCTCTCAACCCTCCACCCTCCCTGACTGTTCAATGTTATTTTATATTAGAAGTCAATGTGACAAAGATTCATTCATTTTATGACTTTCCAACACATAGAGATACACAGTTCTCAAAGTTCACATAAATTGAACAATCCCTTGGATTTATGCCAAGAACCCAAATAATATGAATCTAATCAAATCCTTTTTCTACTAAAGATAAGCCAATCATGGGATTAAATATTTCATAAATGAGTGAGAAATTAAACATATTGTCAGTTACCCTAAAAACACTATAATTCATCCCTATTTATATTCCTGTTCATCATAAAGTGGCACTAGGTTTAAATATCACAGACCCTTTGTTCCAGATGGTAGTATAGTATTTTACTGAACAGAGAAAATTGCTTTAGATGATATTTAGAATAACTGCTATCACATAAATTGTATCACTTGCTCCAAATATGCATAAATATTTGGATGCCATTATAGAAGATTTAATGTACAAAGGTATGATTTGTATGTTATTAGTATTAGAATACAAATCATAATGTACACAAAAGTGTTTTTGATATCCATATTTCAGAAAATCTAAGTATTAGCATTGAGAATACAAAAAGAGAAAAACAATTTCTTTTGTGCTTTAGAAGAAAATGCATTCAATTTTATGTATTTTTGCCCTTTGTTTCATATACATACTAGAAAATAAAAATTAACAATAACCATTTGGCTGTAAAAGCACCTCAATGGTTAGATACATGAGAGAGCTAAGCAGGATGGTTTCATTGTTTCTATCAACACAATGTATGGAAGAATGGTCAAATTATTTGATTTTTTTTTAATCTCAGATTTACCACTGTAAAAGTTAAGGTTAGAACACATATTTACTTGCCTCATTCACTCTACTATTTTTCTATGTCTTTCCTGTCTGTCTTTTTGTAGAGTCATGGTGGATTCTCATCAGCTTCTTCAGGGCATCCTTCATGTCTTTATTCCTTAATGTGTAAATGAGGGGGTTCAGACTTGGAGTGATGATGGTGTAAAAGAGGGTGAGGAACTTGCCCTGGTCTTTGGAGGCACTGTTCCCTGGTTGCAAGTACATGTAAATAACAGTTCCATAGAAGATGGACACTACAGTGAGATGAGAGCCACAGGTGTTCACTGCTTTTCGCTGGCCTGCTTTTGACTTCATCCTCAGCACAGTTTTGGCAATGTAACCATAGGAGATGAGAATAAGGATCAAGGGTGTAAGGATAATGAAAATGCCAAAAGAAAAAATAGACATTTCAACTGCTGTTGTGTCGACACAGGCTAACTTGACCATAGCTGGTAACTCACACAGGAAATGATCGAGAAGGTTGTTTCCACATCGAGGCAAATTCAGGGTGAGTGTACATAATATTACAGAGCTGGCCAGACTAATGCTCCAAACCATGAGGATCATCTTGACACAGAGATGTGGGTTCATGATGACAAGGTAGTGCAAGGGTTTGCAAATAGCTGTGAAACGATCATAGGACATGACAGCCAGGAGCAGGCATTCAATGGAGCCCAACCACATGTAGACATAGAGTTGAATGACACAGCCCACAAAGCTGATGGTCTTCTCAGGGCCCCACAAGTTAACCAGCATCTGAGGAACAATGCTAGTTGTGAAACACAAATCCAGAAAAGATAAATTCCTGAGGAAAAAATACATTGGTGTTTGAAGCTGGGACTCCAGGAGAGATGCAAGAATGATGGCTGTGTTACCCAGTAATGTAATTAAGTAGAAGATGGTGACAACTCCTGACAGAATCTTTTCCAAATTGGGATGATCAGAGAAGCCAAGTAGAATGAAATTATGGAGAGAACTGTGATTTCCTTGGTGCATAATCCTGTGATGGCTAAATATTAGAGAGGGCAAGACAGTGAGGAGGAGCAGGCAGAGAAAGTGAATGATGAAATTAAGGAAAAAAGGGAAAAGGAAGAAAAAGAGAAAGAAGAAGTCAAAAAGAGGAGGGAGAGAAGAAGAAATAACTTGTCATTATGGACTATGTAAATACTTTGATGAGTTACAAAAATAATCAAATGAAAAATTATGTTAGTAATGGAGAAAATTAACAAATAAACATTAAATATGTTACATTTAAGTAACCTGGTACTTAAGATATGCCCTTTATGGTAATGAGATTAATATTGTATTTTAAAAATATCTAGGTGAAGTTTAGGAGGTTTTAAAAAAGATCTCAATGATAGCACAAGTAAAGATGCAACCACATAATGTCTTACCACAGCAGTTAGGAGGCATATTCTTTGAGGTGGTTAATGGGTTAATTCATAAAATCTCAACACTTGACTAATGTCTTTTTTGTTTGATTGCTAGTGTCTTTGGTTTTGCAGTTTGTCATCTAAGAGATCTGGCATTTATCCTTGATTCTTATTTCTCCCCATCGTCACCTTTTTTCAAATCCTTCTTTATCATCCAAACTCGTAGTTTTGAGTGCAAAAGTACAGGTTGATTATTGTTCATGTTTAAGAATTTCCAACAACAATATCATAATTCAAGCCAAGTCCCAGCAGTCTTCACCCCTTGTACTCAGCCTGCACACCATTACACTATTCATTAAAACATAGCAACTATGCCTAAATCTTGCTTGACACATTTGAATACATTCAAGGCATATCATGATTTTTTTGAAGTGTCCTCAAAGGACCTGTATTCCTTGGCTTCTACATAGGATTCATTCCTACTGGAAGACCTAAGAATAGTTCTTCTGGTTTACTATTAATATTTATTTACAACTCCTGTCATTCTCTTGACCACCTTTAAATGACTTTTGCTAAGGTCTCCTTCACACCCTCCCTACCAACACTGGCCTATGCATTTTAGGAAGACATACATTGTTTGTATTGCTCTTTGCTCTATCTGTATAATAACCCCAATAAAAAACATTTTCCCTAATATACCCTTTGTGAATAGAAGTTAAAGTCACACTATTTACAGTGACGAAAATAATCAATCTTGGTTGTCACTTTTTGTGAAGTTACCTCAATTGGGCAGTAGGTTGAAAATGAATGGGAAAGATAGTGATTTAATTTATGCAGAGACAAACGATGTTTTCAAGTCTGTTGAAAATAATGAAAACCATTAGTTTCTTTTGAAAGGACGAATAAGCTGAGCATTACTCAGCCATGCTAAACACATCCACTTTGCCTAGAGTTTCATGAGCACCTCAGAGCTGTGGTTGAGATTAACTGTCCACCACCATATTTTCCTATCACTGAATATAAAAAGATGAATTCTTAACATTTGACACTAAAATAACACCCAGAAAGATTTCATTAATGTTGTGTTATCTACTGAAAATTTTGGTACTGGATTATGTACTTTTTACCTTACTGTTTTAGTTACTATTTTAGAGATAATATATTTCTAATTTGCATTATGGTGAAAGGCATAGTACTTCACTAAAAAGTTAACAAAGTAGCTTATAACAAATATTGTTATTTTAGATACAATCAGACAGACAGAAATAATAAAAGTAGCAGGAAGCTTTTGGAGGTGACAGATTTATGGCACAGATTAGTGTGATTGTTTCATAAGCATATACTTGTCTATGGATGCATTAAGTTACATAACCATACGTTAGGCGTATGTTTTTTCTCTCTGTGTTTTGGTCCAGAACTATGTTTTATGTGCTCAAGAAACATACAGAAAACATTTAACTGAAAAGTAAAGGTACATTTCAAGTTGGTGAATCTTTGCGACTTCCTTTCTGTGTAGGTGCAGTACAAAAATTGGGCTTTTGATTATTATGCCATTTTAAATATGCTCTTTAATATGTAGAAGAAATTATTTAAACAATAACTATGAATCAAAAGTGGAAACATTAGCAGACCAGCTGCCTAAGGTGGCTGAAACAGTTGCTTTGAGGGAGTCCCAGAGGCAGTTCCTTAGATTTCACTGTTCTCTGAATACTGCCAACCATTAACAAAGGGAAGTAGCTGTACTGTCTCATGACTCTTAGATCTGAATAGGGAAAAGAAGCTATTGTCTTGACAGACACATGAATTATACAATTGTGCTTAAATATAAAACAGAGCTTTAGTTAAAAAGCATAAAAAAACCCCAAAATTCTTTTGAAATGAAAGTGAATGCTATGTTGTTGTTTCCTTAACTGTTCATGATCACTACAGCCCCTATGAATTAATTCAGGAAATAATAACATTTTTCTCTGGTATTATAAAGCTGGCACAAAAAGATCTGCATTTAATTTCTTGCACACATTATAAGACTTAGTAAAAATCAAAAGTATCAAAGCCATTCCTAGCTATACAAACTTCATAATTAATCTTTCAATCTTTCATTTTAATCCAGATATTTATTCTCGACTTGCATTTTATTCAAATGTATGAAATCAAAAAGAAAGAAACAACTTAGAGCTTTCCTCTGATAAAAAAGAAAAATTTAACCTTTTCCTTATAATGGAGGCAAAAAAATTAATGACTTCTTTGCAGGCATCTATAATATTTATTTACTCTGAGCCACTGGGAAGAAACTCAGAAGAACCTGCCCATACGTGTGCCAGTTCTTGTCCTCTTGCTTTCCTAAGCTTGCCCTCACTTGGAAGAGATATTAAAGCTGACGTTACTGTGACTCGGCGAGTGCTCCCTGGACGTCCCTCTTCTCTGTCCCTGCGGAAACCGTGGGGTGGAAGCCCTTGCTGTCCGGCGGAAGCCCTTGCTGTCCGGTGGAGGCCCTTGCTGTCCCGGTGGAAGCCCTTGCTGTCCCGGTGGAAGCCCTTGCTGTCCGGCTGCGGCTCTAACCTTTCCCCTCCGTGCTGCGGTGAATTCTGCTTCTCCTGAGGTGCGGGAAGGGGAGTCTTCACAGGACTCCTTGAACACGTGACTGTCGGTGAGGGGAGGGTTACAGACAAGTTCATATTGGTTGTTTTGGCTTCAGATCACCGTGCAAGCAGGTCTTGTTTGGAGAACAATAGAAAAGCCTCCTGCTCACCCTGAGTAAGACTGAACAACAGTTCCCAATACTGCTTGAAAACCAGGTCATCAAGTGAAACGCTCAGAACTGTATCTAAGCGACCTCACTAATGTCAGAGAAAATTCATGCAGATCACACCCTGGTATTGAATAGAACTGATCTAGCACATGCAAAGGAAACTGAACAAGGAGGTTTTGATGAGTTGGTTATAATCATTGCACCTTCTAGAATTAAAAATCATAATGCCAGCAATAAGCATACATTGACAGCCACATGTTCTATTCTTAAATATGGACGGGTTCTCACCACTGAGCAAGAAAACAACTTTAAATATTTACTTCTATCTGGTAGTAATCATGTGTATTTGAGATATAGTATAGCATGACCTTTGCACAGATAGATTTTGGATACAGACTTGCTGGATAAAAATCTATTGGTTCCACTTATCACATGTGTGAACTTGTGGGAAATTATTTAATCTTTCAGCATTCCATTTTTCTTAAACCCTTTCAGTTTAGGGGATAGTAAAACTTAACCACTTCTAATTAAAAATGTGTGCCCATTTAACAACATCCCCAGACTTTCCCTCACTCCAGCTCCTGCAAGTTACTGTTCTCATCCTGTTCTCTGGCACAGTGCCCTCCAGTTTCATCTGTGTTGTTACAAATGGCAGCAGCATTTCTCTCTTTTATGGATGAACTGCATATTTGTATATTTGAAAAACACTGAAGTCCACGCCTAGTTTTGTTCATAGCACACATTTCCCATGAGCCTCTGAAGGCCAGTGCTCCACACTTCATTCATTGATTCATGGATATATGTGTTGTTTCCACATCTTGGTGATTGTGAATAATATAATGATTAACAAGGAAGTACAGATTTCTCCATGACATATTGATTTCAGTTTCTTTAGATTGATGAAGGTATTTTAAGCACTTTGGGAAATGGGCTGGAGCATCCGTTGTTTTGTGTGTGGCCGGGTGACTGCAACCACCAGGGTGTGTGTGGACTGATGTGGTTCTTGAACTGAGCTGGACTCCACACTGGCTGGCACACACAGTAGTCAGTTCTAGGGTAACCTCCGGTGAGGTTTTCTTGTGGGATTCCCTCAACTGGACTGCTGGACTGAAAACTCTGATCACAGGGTAAACTCACAGAAGATTTGTTGTCTCACCTTTGAATGCATGTATTTGGACTGGGCCTCCTCAGTTCCTGATGTCTGTTCAGTGGCTAGCAGGCCCAGATGCACATTGGGAACATGAAAAGCAACTCATTGAGGCCTGCAGTGGACATTGGGGACCATGCCAGAGGGTGGAGGGCAGAATAAATTGGACAATTTCTTTGGTCAGCCTTTGACAGCAAGTTTCTGGACAAATTGATACTGTAAGAGGACTATGTCATTGGATAGACCTTGGAAAAATTCCTCTACCTATTGTAACTATGAAACCCAACAGTGTCTCAGAACTGTTGAAACCACTTAAGTAACATTCTTGAAACATCCTTCACATCGAGGACCCTAGGATGACATCAGGTGGCGTCCCTTCCCTGGGTACTGTTGTATCTTGGCTGCTAAGAGTGATTCCACCACCCCAATACAGGAGGAAAAAGATTGGAAGCAATTTTCTCACCCACTTTCCTCTACATATTGAGCCTCCCTACTCTAATCAGTGGTCCATTTGGGCATACAAACAACATTAAAAATAAATAAAATAAAATAAATAAAAATAAATTTAAAAAAGAAACTATTTGGCTACTTTGCAGCAATCACTAATTCAAAACAATTCTTTATGTATTATACAATGTATGTATTATAATTGTGCTTGTGAAGTTGTAATGTCCTATTAGAAAACAGTCAATATGTTAATTTATTTAAATGTAGTTCACAATATTCA